TGACATTTTGAGGGTTCACGATGACAGACGAAAACCAAGACCAACCGAGCATCTGATTGAAAATGTTGGCGAATTAGACACATATTCCTCGCATCAGTTACAAAGTAAAAACAAGCGCCTCGTTGAAAACGGTGCCGAGGCTGCTCCTAACAGTTATGTCAACCCAGCTTTCGAGTATGGTTCCTCAAATGAAGAAGAAACAAGTTTGAATGACCGCGGAATGGAACGTTCGTCTCCAACATTTAAAGAAGGAGTGGCGGACAGACGTCAAGGTTTTCCCAAGTCACCCACGCGAAGCTATAAACATGACAGAGAAGACGTTGAGTTACATCTCAATGACGGAAAAAGACACGGGCTGAATATCTCACCCCCGTCAGCTGAGGACGTGATGGCGGACAGACGTCACGGTGTGGCAGGCAGACGTCATGGTTATCCAGGTACACCGCAGCGCCACTATCAATACGACAGGGAGCGTGTGATCCCATTCGAACACGAAAACCTCGAGGGGACCGAGTCTGATGGCACCAGCAGCTCGAGCGAAACTTATCCAGATTATGAAAGCGATTCTGTACACGAGGAAGCTATTCCCTACGATAACCATATGTTCACACCTATCACTTCCCAAACCTCGAATCTGGAAAATAGCAAACCTCTAACGTCAAGGGCCGAAGATGGTCACGAGCAGTTAGCAAATGATACACACTGTCGCACGCTGTGTGAAGTTGGGGCAGAGGATTACGCCACCCAACCTGACATCGAGGTCGACCTTGACGAAGATGCGTCATACAGTTCGTTCCAAACTGGCAGCAACCGCCGAAGTAAACGCCCTCGTATCCTCGCCATGAGCCCCGAATTTTCCCCCATTTGCGAGTTCGAGGAGATGTGTGGTGACTACAGCGCTAGTGACGAGGAAATTGACTGAAAGCACGACCAGGTCTAGGATGTAACTGATGAGTTGCGGAGGGGAGAGGGGTGGACAATTATACATTTGTTTGTAATATTTAGCAGAAAGGGCGGAAGATATCTTTTTTATTTGGTCATTTCGCCTGTTTGACTTTTGGGTAGGAAGATGGGAGACGAAGTTCTCACGAAGCTATCGCTACAATGCCAGATTGCAAACGGTAGTTAGAGATAGGCGTAGACGCAACAATTAATAGCTTGCCAATATCACAGTACAAAATTATGAGTATCTTTAATAAAAGGGAGGCTTGTTTATTGCTTGATAATTGTGTTGAGCGGGACTTGAATGGCGGAGATTAATTATTTATGAGCGTAGCACGGTTTGCTCGTATTTCAAATATTTCTTCACAATTTTTGGTGGAATTTTCAGGATAGACAGAAATTCAGAGGTGAGAGAATGTTTCAACTCGCGATATCTGGCATCCTTTTCAGTAATTGTTCTTTTTTTCAGGAATGTTTTCTGATTGATGGTCTCGGGGTATGTCATGAATTCTATCAATCATGTGGCATGCGTATTATGCGTATTTTAATTGTATGATTATACGAGATTACCGATAACTACTATTTGTATCGGGATTATAATATTCAAACCGGAAGATCATGATTTATTGATAAAGATATGCATGACGTCCTAAATTGTTCAAATAAACCTAATTTATCTTATGAAATGTGATATAAAAAAGCTTTTGCATGATGCAATGCGAGATCAGAATATAAGTTCATGGTGCATGAATCATGTCCAGTTGTGCTCATTGCTTTTTTTCCTTGATCAATCTACAGTAATGCTTGCCCTTTCTGCAAAAAAAAAAAAAAAAAAAAAAAAAAATTGTTACAACTGTAAAAAAGAACTCATATGTAATTAAATATTTGCTGCAAAGCTGTCACATTATTGACTTTTTTATTCTGACAATCGCGTTTTATTAGAAATATTTAAATATTTAAAACATTGGGGTATGATGTTAGATTAGCGGCGTTGTATGGATTCGCAGATGACTCCTAATGGAAGAACTACGTGCGCAGATAAATACGAGATTGTGATTTTTTTCCTATAGCGGTTGTCCTGCTGCCATGCAGTCAGGAAATCTCCAATAACTAACTAAGTTAATTGATAAATGTAGATAATACAAATACATAGAAAAATAATAAGAAAATTAATTTTCAACATAATTAATTCATAAAGTAATTAATTAATACATTATACATAAAAGGGTTTCATCTACCAATTAATTTTATACCGCTATATTTGGGGAACTAAGTGTTCATGATTGCTGAAGAGATATGCTTGGAGACTTATCACATGATATTGTGATCAAGATAGACACTAATGATACGGTGCCTGTTTATCATATTGGGATATAATCAAATACTGATACACAGATGATATGGTGTATTCAACACTACGTTCAATACATTGTTAGTCAACAAACTGGGCAGAATTTTAAAACGATGCATCAGTATCGGTATGATTAATGTGTCAAAAAGGTCAGTGATTCACTAACTGAGGTGTGCAATATACAGAAAGTGTACGTACATATATATTTTTGATATTTTACACAAGTCAGTTGTGTGCAGCTCCACATGGTTTGGTACTCGAAACTGCAGTGGTGAGGAATCAATTTTATAGAAAGTCCAAAAGGGGAAAATAAGAAAGGACTGCCAACACGTAAATATCTGTCACCAGAATTGCTGACAACGTTTACTAGCACACATGTGTATTAATGGCAGCAATGCTTTTAAAAGCCTTTCAATAATAACCAGTAAAATAGGGTCGTCATATTACTCTTGGTGACCCTCACTCCACACCGGGTGGCTGGACATTGCCAGATGAGACGTTACTGAGCGGAGAAAAGGTGAGGTCCTGCCGGGCAGTGGGCCTGGTAGTTCTAGGAATATTATTAGACGGGGGTTTAAACATCTTTCGGCAACAGAAAATCTTCATGATATATATGTGATACGGCATGATATTTGTTGACTATGTTGCATCGATTGTAGTATCAATGTTAAATTAGGTTTGAAGTATCTCTATCTCTCTATCTCTCTCTTTCTCTCTCTCTCTCTCACACACTCACACACGCCACTTGCATAGATATATACACACAAATACATGTATTTGGTATATATTTGGTGTAAGCATAAATCACGACCATGAATAACGCCAATTTTCCATCTTATATTTCAGCGGAAATTTTAAAAACTGAACCAAAATGTCGGAGGCAATCGACTATATAACTTACATAGTTACCATAGTAACGTGCGTACTTTCCTGGCTCGGCTGTTTTTTAATCTACCTCTCGTGGTTTCTCGTTCGTGAAACGAGATGCTCTAATCGACGTTTCCTTCTATACTTGACACTGGCAGATTTCCTGGTGGCTTTTGGCAATCTTATTGGAGCGTCTTCAGGGATGAAAGACCTACGGGGTCATCCGGGCCTCAACGGAACGAATCAGACCGGATGTCCCCAGGATTACGTCTGTGTCACCCAAAGTTTTATTTCCACGTTTGCCACTCTTGCGTCTTTCTTTTGGAACATTTTCATTGCGGTCAGTGTCAGAGACATGGTATTTAAATCTGAGTTGAGTAAAACATGGCAAAACAGCAAAGGATGGCTCGCACATGTTGTTTGTTGGGGTCTACCGCGTGAGTAGTTTCATATTTTTATTTATATAATTTTTTATTATTAATTTTTTTTTAATTACATAGGTCAATAAAAATGTTGCTACTCATCGTCATATGATAGGTAGAATCGGCTTATTAAACCACGTTGCAGATAAATGTAAAAACAGATACAATGCAGTTTTTTTATCATTTTTCCGTAGACACAAACCCTCGCATACCCATTTCTAATGTGTGTATGGAAGTCATCGTTGAACTTTATGCAAGTATATTGGAAATATTAAATTAATAAACAGGTTTTTTAAAGAATGTTTAATAACTGCATGTATGTTCAGGTTGCAGAATGATTTCCGAAACTGTTGCCACAATAGCTATTACATTACTATTGAAGACGAATACCGGTTTTTGAATTTGATCACTTTCTAATTTGAACACTAAATTTGATAAGCGCTTTTTAAATTATTCCCACGCATCCCCAAGGGACAGGGCCCCCAAGACGGAATTAAATTGAGTATACATGGTCTCGATTTGGTGAGCCATCCGTCGGGGCATAAGTAAGCTTATAGCGACTGTGGTTTTTGAAATGGAAACAATTTAGATTAAGAGTTCCGAATTGGTATGTAGTTTCAATTTACATATTGCATTATTGCGTTAAGTGAACTTTGTGTGTGTAGAACAGCCAAAATGTCAGGGTGAACAACAGACTAAAAGAAAACTTCTGTCTTGATCTCTCTCTTTCCAGTTCTGATAACGACGCCCATCCTGCTGACGAACAATCTTGGTCGTGACCAGGCAGGAATAGACGGACAGGAAACTAAAATCGCCAGTGCCGGATGGTGTTGGATAAAAACTTGCGACAGTGACATAGAGACTAAAAGATGGGTACGTACAGGGGTAGGCTAGAATGAAATTATAGACAATGTGACTAAGCATTTATTCAAGTATTCAAGTTATTTGTCTAGACAATTTTCTTCCTTAATTTACTCTTGGGGCTGATTCCCAATCCGCAGGGGGTCTCACTGAATGCAGTCGGGTTAACATATCAACATGCCTACATGTCCTTCCAACTAAAACGTGTGAATGCCAGTTTCTCACTACTCTACTCAACGATAAAATCTGCTCGCATTCGAAGACGTTGGATTGATCTACGTAGAACAATAGATCCACTGGGGATTGTTAAATAAAATTAACAGTTTTCAATGGTTAAATAAATTCAATAACCACAACGTTAATTGCTATGCTTCACATATGCAGGTTACCGGGGTAAATAATGAAATAATATGAACATTCATAATAAATTAGTGAATTAAACATTTGATATTATGTCTGACGGTTCAGATGTAATTGAAGTCCAATATAACCGATGATTGCTTATAACAATCACAGCAGTCTTATTATTGAGATATCTTGACAAATATTAGTTATACAAAGAAAGACGTTATAATACCAAATAAAGTCGCATTTCATTCTACTTTTAAAACAATTGTGGTACGATTTGTTTGTCCCAGATTTTCGTCATTTTCAATTTTGTTCAAGTAAAGGCTGATAAACATTTAGTTTCATGTCACTGTGGCTTAGAGGTCAAGTAATGGTTTTGTACTTCTTGTTTTATGTGCGCCACAGGTGTGGGACGTATTTCTGATGACGATTTCCGGTAAGGGCTGGGAGATTCTTTCCTATGTGTTCATTCCCGTAGTTTACTTTCAAATGAAGAGAAGGATCAAGAAGGCCGTAAGTAACAACCGTGTATGAGTGAATGTTTTGACTCCACCATTAGAATTACAATGAGAACGATGACATTAGATCAGGTAACGAGTCCATCCAGGTTATTGCGTAGTGAAAGGTATCAGGCTGAGACCGCAACGTCGGTCAGTTGCTGATGTAAATTTCAGTATCAGAATTATACAATCGTGCACAGCTGATGAATTTCTTCTCCGATCTTTTAAATGATATTAACGCTGTTATGTCTCAGGTGCGCCAGTCCCCTTCTCTATACGTGGACAAAGGAACTCTGGCAGCAGTCAAGACAGTGGACAGAGTAATGACCACCATACCACTGTTCTTCTTGACCCTGAGAATCTGGGGGACAATCCGCTTCCTGGCCAATACGGTTGTCTGGGTAAACCAGATGGAGCATCTGCCTCGTACATTTCATGTCATTGTGAACCAAATCTTCCCCGTGTTGCAGGTACGTGTTATGATGTCTGTTTATTTGAAGTCGTAGGTACTTTAATTATTCATAAATGTATCTTTGTCACTATTTCGAAAGTTTTGTAAGCTCCAAATACCGATTTTTAAACTTGACCATGTGTTTCTTTTTTCAATATGGATTGTATATCTTTATACATCAATTTAATGCATATTGTAAGCCACCAGAAAGGTAATGTTTGTATTGTTTTAAGGATTTAAGTTTTTTTTTTTCAATGCAGAATCGACTTTGCGTTAAGGTATGTCAAATAATTATTTCACATATACATTTTTTATACAAAACGTTTCAGGCAGTCGGTGACAGCGGGCAGGGCTTCGTTAACTTCATCATCTACTGCTTCCTGACCGCGCCTGTAAGACAAAAACTTCTGCAGCGCCTCGGATTGACCAGATACAGCCTACGTCACAGTGTCGTCATTGATTACGACACAAGCACCAATGACGTCACATTCCAGGGTGCTCACAGTTACNTGTTTGGGGAACTAAGTGTTCATGATTGCTGAAGAGATATGCTAGGAGACTTATCACATGATATTGTGATCAAGATAGACACTGATGATACGGTGCCTGTTTATCATATTGGGATATAATCAAATGCTGATACACAGATGATATGGTGTATTCAACACTACGATCAATACATTGTTAGTCAACAAACTGGGCAGAATTTTCAACCGAGGCATCAGTATCGGTATGATTAACGTGTCAAAAAGGTCAGTGATTCACTAACTGAGGTGTGCAATATACAGAAAGTGTACATGCATATATATTTTTGATATTTTACACAAGTCAGTAGTGTGCGGCTCGCCATGGTTTGGTACTCGAAACTGCAGTAGTGAGGAATCAATTTTATAGAAAATCCAAAAGGGGAAAATAAGAAAGGACTGCCAACACGTAAATATCTGTCACCAGAATTGCTGACAACGTTTACTAGCACACATGTGCAATAATTACAGCAATGCTTTTAAAAGCCTTTCAATAATAACCAGTAAAATAGGGTCGTCATATTACTCTTGGTGACCCTCACTCCACACCGGGTGGCTGGACATTGCCAGATGAGACGTTACTGAGCGGAGAAAAGGTGAGGTCCTGCCGGGCAGTGGGCCTGGTAGTTCTGGAAATTTTATTAATCGGGGCTTTAAACATCTTTCGGCAACAGAAAATCTTCATTATATATATATATATATATATATATATATATATATATATATATATATATATATATATAAAACGGCATGATGTTTGTTGACTTTGTTGCATCGATTGTAGTATCAATGTTAAATTAGGTTTGAACTTTCTCTCTCTCTCTCTCTCTCTCTCTCTCTCTCTCTGTAACACACACACACACACACACACACATACACACACACACTTGCATAGATATACCAGGTATACACACAAACATTTGGTATATATAAGGTGTAAGCATAAATCACGACTATGAATAACGCCAATTTTCCATTTTATATTTCAGTGGAAATTTTAAAAACTGAACCAAAATGTCGGAGGCAATTGACTATATAACTTACATAGTTACCATAGTAACGTGCGTACTTTCCTGGCTTGGCTGTTTTTTAATCTACCTCTCGTGGTTTCTCGTTCGTGAAACGAGATGCTCTAATCGACGTTTCCTTCTATACTTGACACTGGCAGATTTCCTGGTGGCTTTTGGCAATCTTATTGGAGCGTCTTCAGGGATGAAAAACCTACGGGGTCATCCGGGCCTCAACGGAACGAATCAGACCGGATGTCCCCAGGATTACGTCTGTGTCACCCAAAGTTTTATTTCCACGTTTGCCACTCTTGCGTCTTTCTTTTGGAACATTTTCATTGCGGTCAGTGTCAGAGATATGGTGTTTAAATCTGAGTTGAGTAAAACATGGCAAAACAGCAAAGGATGGCTCGCACATGTTATTTGTTGGGGTCTTCCGCGTGAGTAATTTAATATTTTTATTTATGTAGCTATTTATTATTAATTTTTGAATAACATGACTTATAATAAAGAATTGCATTTGAGCAGCAATAAAAATGTTGCTACTCATCGTCATAAGATTGTTAGAATCGGCTTATTAAATCACGTTGCAGATAAAAGTAAAAACAGCTACAATGCAGTTTATCGTTATCATTTTTCAATGGACACAAACACTCGCATACTCATTGCTAATGTGCGTATGGAAGTTAACGTTGAACTTTATGCAAGTATATTGGAAATATTAAATTAATAAACCGGTTTTTTAAAGAATTTTAATAGCTGCATGTATGTTCAGGTTGCAGAATGATTTCCGAAACTGTTGCCACAATAGCTATTACATTACTATTGAAGACGAATACCGTTTTTGGAATTTGATCACTTTTTAATTTGAACACTAAATTTGAAACGCGCTTTTTAATTTATTCCCACTTATCCCCAAGGGACAGAGCCCCCAAGACGGAATTAAATTGAGTATACATAGGTCTCAATTTGGTGAGCCATCCGTCGGGGCATAAGTAAGCTTGGCGACTGTAATTTTTTGAAATGGAAACAATTTAGAATAAGAGTTCCGAATTGGTATGTAGTTTCAATTTACATATTGCATTATTGCATTAAGTGAACTTTGTGTGTGTAGAACAGCCAAAATGTCAGGGTGAACAACAGACTAAAAGAAAACTTCTGTCTTGATCTCTCTCTTTCCAGTTCTGATAACGACGCCCATCCTGCTGACGAACAATCTTGGTCGTGACCAGGCAGGAATAGACGGACAGGAAACTAAAATCGCCAGTGCCGGATGGTGTTGGATAAAAACTTGCGACAGTGACATAGAGACTAAAAGATGGGTACGTACAGGGGTAGGCTAGAATGAAATTATAGACAATGTGACAAAGCATTTATTCAAGTATTCAAGTTATTTGTCTAGACAATTTTCTTCCTTAATTTACTCTTGGGGCTGATTCCCAATCCGCAGGGGGTCTCACTGAATGCAAATGGGTTAACATATCAACATGCCTACATGTCCTTCCAACTTAAACGTGTATACGCCAGTTTCTCACTATTCTACTCAACGATAAAATCTGTTTGCATTTGAAGACGTTGGTTTGATCTACGTAGAACAATAGATCCACTGGGAATTGTTAAATAATATTTACAGTTTTCAATGGTTAAATAAAATAATTCAATAACCACAACGTTAATTGCTATACCTCACATATGCAGGTTACCGGGGTAAATAATGAAATAATATGAACATTCATAATAAATTAATGAATTAAACATTTGATATTATGTCTGACGGTCCAGATGTCATTGTAGTCCAATATAACCGATGATTGCTTATAACAATCACAGCAGTCTTATTATCAAGAAATCTTGACAAATATTAGTTATACAAAGAAATACGTTATAATACCAAATATAGTCGCATTTCATTCTACTTTTAAAGCATTTGTGGTACGATTTGTTTGTCCCAGATTTTCGTCATTTTCAATTTTGTTCAAGTAAAGGCTGATAAACATTAAGTTTCGTGTCACTGTGGCTTAGAGGTCAAGTAATGGTTTTGTACTTCTTGTTTTATGTGCGCCACAGGTGTGGGACGTATTTCTGATGACGATTTCCGGTAAGGGCTGGGAGATTCTTTCCTATGTGTTCATTCCCGTAGTTTACTTTCAAATGAAGAGAAGGATCAAGAAGGCCGTAAGTAACAACCATGTATGAGTGAATGTTTTGACTCCACCATTAGAATTACAATGAGAACGATGACATTAAGGCTGGGTCACACTGCGCTTGCAACCTTTTGGCAACCTCTTTGCAACCTCAGTCGCAAGAAGGTTGCCATAGGTTTTAAAGTGGTCGCATTAGGTTGCAAACAGGTCGCCTGCGATCGTTGACACACGAAAGCCATTTTTTTGCACCGACAACCAGTGCGACTGATAGTGAAAACGATTGGTAACTGAGAGGTTGCCTAAAGGTCTCCTCTTGGTTGCTAGTAGGTCGCTGTAACCAGACTAAAACCAGTCGCATACCACCTGTAACTGCACGGTCGATTGACGGTCTTTAGTCGCTTAGTTGCAAACAGGTTACTAACCGGTTGCAAGCGGTGGGCAGCAGGTCGCCAGCAGGTTGCAGTTGAAACTTCATGGTCGATTAACGGTCTTTAGTCGCTTGGTCTCTAACAGGTTTCTTACAGCTCGCGTGCACTCGAAAACATGTCGCGAGAAGGTTGCAAGCAACCGTGATAAAATAAGCGTAGGATGGTGGCCAATAAATATATAAATATCTTTTTCATTTATATAATGCCATTAAGGCCTTCTAAATATCTTGACAAAAATCATTATTTCTCAATTAAAACGTAGATTGTATTTGTTGTCATCTTTTTTAATTTATTTACAAGGTTTTCATAAGTATTTTTTTTCAATAAAATAAATAAATGTACGAGTCCCTATTTAGCTACGGAAGTTGACTATCTATCTGAGCAACAGTGGGCGATATTTCAACAACAGAGCATGGACTTAATTCTAAAAGCACGCAGCCAAAAGGCGAAACTCAGTTACAGGCCTACATTTTTGTTTACTCCTCAACACCCTCAAGTAAACACATCTTTTCCTTCTCCATTGAACACTTCGGCTTTAACCATTCCCTCTATCCCAACACCCACTTCTGCTTTTTCTACTCCCGCGTCCACTTCTCAGCATTTGACACCAGGGCACACATGGAGTTTTTATTGATGATTTATCATGTTACTAAATGCAGTCTCATAAAAACAGTGTAATTGATAAAGTCTAAGATAAGAATAGTTTTATAATTAAATATTATTTTATTAAGTGCAAGGTTTTGTTTGTAGCAACAATTGGCTTCCAAGTATAAAATTTACTGAGTCGAAATAAATTGAAAGTTTGAAAAATAAAAGTAAAAGACAATTTAGTTTGTTTAACGTGAAGTGATAATTATTTTTCTATGCAGTTATCAGTGGAATACAAAAGCGTCAAAACAATTAGTATTATAATTAAATATTTTGTTACTTAGTGTAACATTTAGTTTGTAGCATCAATTGGCTTCCGAGTATAACATTTAATGAGTCGAAATAAATGGATAATTTTGTTTAATGTTTATTGATAATATTTTTTAAATACAGTTATCAGTGGAATACAAAAGTGCCAAAACAATCAATAATGATGATCACAATGTAAAATATAAACTGTTATCTTTTTATCCATTCCTATATCATGGCTAATTTTTGACAACTATTGTTGTCAAATTTACTGGAAACATTTTTTAATGACTAAAGCAGCCGGAAATATCTTACTTTTTTAATTTGCCAAGTCATAATTTGCCAAGTCACAATGGAAGAAAAACTAAGGGCCCCTTTACACTGGACGGCGTCCTTTCTGCGTCCAGCAGTCCGGCCCCATTTGAGAGTTAAATTTTTTAAATATTTTACGTGCCGACAACTGGCTGATCATTGAGCATTCATTCTGATAAAGAATTAATGCTCGTGCCTCCTTATTAAGACCACAGCGATGCCAAATTTCA